AAGATCACCGTCTTCAGAGGAGCTGCCTGGTTCTACCTCAAGTGACAAGTCCGCTCAGACAGTCACTGAGAAAAAGTCCAAAGACGGCGATGATGACTGGGAGAAGGTCTCGGTCCCCTCAGTGAGTGCAGAGACACAATACAAGGCTGCCCCTATCCCAGCTGTCAATGTTTGGCAAGTACGCAAAGAGGCTCAAGCTGCGAAGTTGAAAGGGCTAGAACAGCAGCGTGGACCAGTTTCCAGCGCACCTAATCAACCGCAGAAACCCAGGTCTGCAGTTGAGGATCCCAAGCGGAAATCTCTCAGTAAAGATGTTACCACTGCCGAGAAAGAAAGCAAGAGTGCCGACAGCACGAGACCTGTCAATCGAAAAGACATGCCGTCAGCTCGGTCCTCCCGACCTACATCTCAGCATGGTGAGAAAGGCGATGTGGATGCGCCACCACCGGTTGATGACGCACAGTCATGGCCGACACCTGAAAATTCGAATGTTGACGAACGTCGCAAATCAGCTTCACTCGAAAAGTCTGATAAACTGGATGGGAAGTCCGCGTCTCAGAAAACTCATGGTAACAAATGGGTTGCCGTTCCGTTCGTCCCTACAGCAAAGTTTGAAACACAGCTTCCTCCGGCTGCAGCGCGACGGGGCGGGAGAGTCGGCAGGGGAAGAGATACCGGCGGTCGCGGCGGCGGCCATGCAGGTGCTGCTCTAGAAAAGCAAGATGGCACGACGTCCATGGGACCGCCTCCTGTCCCAAGACAGTCTGGCGAACAAGATCGGGGCCGAAGATCTGAAGGTGAACGTGGTGTACGCGGTGCGTCCGTGCCTACCACCAGCACTCGACCTACAGGTGGCGAAGACACAAATGCCGCCTTCTGGAAGCCTTCTGCAGCTTATGTCAAGGATCAACCCGCGTCCGAAAATGTTACCACGAACCAAACGGCATCTCAGCATAACATTGAAGACCAGATTCCTCGGACTGACCACAGCTCCAGGTCTTCATCGAGACACGCTGGGAACGTTGTTGGTCGGATGACCAATGGAGACGGGAATGCCTCTGTCGATCAAGCGAATGGCACTCACAGCCAGACTAATGAGCCCATCGCTCGGTATTCATTCACTTATGACCGATACAAAGGTTCCGGAGGAGGCGCATCCCGGGGTACGGGCGATTTTGGCAGAGATCGCGGCTCTGGCAGGAATCGAGAGTGGTCCAGGGATAAACCTGACTCCGCTCGCGAAAAGGTTGAGTCCTGGCGTGATCGGGAAGCCTCGGGCGATCAGAACAATCGACGAGAGCCTCGATCTGAGCGTGGACGTGGCTATCGCGGCCGGGGTAACAACAACTACAATCCACCGTATACGTCGTCCCATGCGTACACGTCGCCTCTTCCTCAAAATGGATTTGAACCACCATCCAGAGCAAATTCGCACACAGAGACTCGCTCAAGGCAAACTTCGCAGCCGTTTGTACCATCACAGACATCAAATTCGACTCGCACAAACCCGCGTTCTCAGTCTATCCCTGTTGGCATGATGTTCCCAGGGTATTACAACGGCATGCCGGCCATGCCTCAAGGGCTCCAGCCCGTTCAGACTGACATGTCCATCTACGGTTATCCGTCTCAATTGCAGATGCAACCTAGCATCATGAGTGCAATGCCGTACAATGATCCGCTGAACTCGTACGCTTTGCTGTCAATGGTCATGACTCAGATGTAAGTGTCCACAAACCATCGACTACCTAAATGTGTCTCCATACTAACACTGCCTCTAGTGAGTACTACTTCTCAATTGACAATCTCTGCAAGGATTTGTTTCTCCGGAAGCATATGGACGGTCAAGGTTACGTCCCACTGAGCGTCATCGCTAATTTCAAACGTATCAAGACCCTGACCGAGGATAATATGAATCTGGAGAACCTTCGCTATGTCTGCCAGCAAGTCAAGAGTGTGGAGTTTTTACCGGGACCCGATGGGGATGATCGACTCCGTCGTCGAGAAGGCTGGCGTGATTTTGTTCTTCCCGTGGAGGAGAGATTCGAATCGGCCCGCAACGAAGGGCCCTTGCATCACCCAGAAACATACTCTCAAGCCGCGCAACCAGACCAGGTTGGTCTTCATGATCCATCTTTTGCCTTCGGTCAATTGCGCAGTCCGCAGCTGACCGTTGGTGCCAGCAATGGAGCATTCCACGCAAACTCGCCGATGTCTTATGTTCCTGGTCTGCCAACGGAGAATCAGCCATCTGGGGAACCACTCGTCCGACCATTTGAAGATGGTTCTAGTGACGGCACAGAGAGACCTGCGATTGTGTCTTACCAGCATGTTGCTCCTCCTGCTGTACGATCTCCGCCACACCACGCCTCGGAACCCCTGAACAACATTGTGAATGGTCACCAGCGGCAGAGTTCACGTACCGATATTGAGGATAACATCTTTCCGGACGACCAGATCCCGAATGTCAACATTCGAATGCAACCAACCACTCTCAGTGGTGCGGCCCCTCCCTTTCCCGGTATCGCTCGAATCCCTTCGGCCGAGTCTTCTAGTGGACAAAATGAAGGCAACAATGTGCCTCAGGACCTAACTCAAGCTCGGGTCCCAAGTTTGCGCGGCGGAGCAAGCAGTCCACAGCAGTAAGTCATTTCGATCGCTGCACGGCCAAACACTAACGGCCGGATAAGGCTTGAGCAATTCCGCAGCTTGTCTTTCGGCACCCCGTTCACAATTCCTACAAGCGACGAAAGCATTATTTACTTCACGAAGGACGGCCAAGAAACGCAATTGCCACCTCCACAGCCAGGACAATTTGACCAGACATACCTATCACTCCATGATGTCGCTTTTCAGCAGCGCCAAATGGGAGTTGACGGAGCTCTAGAACCTCTTTACAATTTTTGGACTGATTTCCTTGTCGACAAGTTCAATGTCGGCATGTATCAGGAATTCAAAACGACCGCGATTGGTGATTTACTCGAAGGCAGTGATAGCGGCATGTCGCATCTTGTCCGCTATTTTGGCAAGCTCTTATCCGCCCCTGTTCCGATCAGTGAACGTCTTGCCTCCGACATGATCAACCTTTATCGAGAGGAAAAACCCGATAACCGACCTGTTTTCCATGCCTTGCGGGCTGCGTGGCGCAACGGTGCGACAAACTTGAAGACAATCAAACGACTCGGCGACGTCCTTAGTGCAGAAGAAAAGGCCGAGCTCGATAAGAGCGGCTAAGTGTCTGCTCTCCTTGGCACCTTTTTCTGGTGTGCTGTGACGGAACAAAAAAAGCATGTATCTGCTCATCGTTGCCATTCTCGGAAACGTATGGAGAAAGCCTCTTCGACCGTTGAACGAATATGCAAATTTTCTAATGGCATTTGTCTGATTAACACCACCTGAGATCATCGTTGCCGTGATCTTTTTACCCTTCGAAACTGATTCACTTCATTTTGCTGGAGCTACCGGTTCTCAACAAACTCACCGCGATTGACCTCGAGATCTTTGTACAATGCACATGTGATTTCGTCCATCGAACCACGTTACTTGACGTGCGACATGTGCGACACCAGAAACGAGCGAGTTCTTGTCACCGACAATCATTTTTCAATACAACATTTCCACAACCACATACCAGGAGCCATCCCAACTGAAAGGGGAAGGGAGAAAAAAGTAAAAAAACCATGCAGCTTTTAGCAGGATTCAATGGCATATGCAAAGGATTACAAGCGGCGCATTGAATTAGGCTTGAGAATTCCCCTCTGGGACAACTCACGACCAATTATGATTGAGATACCACACCGCGGTTGCTCAGCACATTTTCTTCGATTGTTTCAGAGTAATGGCTCACTTTTCTTTTCACTCAAAGGCATAATTATGTCTCTTGCATAGACCTCACAACGTTGCACAGGGAGGACAGGAATGGCAGAGTTACCGTGGGGACAGAGAGGCTGGGGACACACGGTCATGCAAAGCGCTGGGCGAGTTGCAAAGGTGAACGGGAGGAGCAGCGAGCTGGGAAGGGCAACCCACACCACCCCCTTTTCCTCGACCCTACAGGACCTTGGCGTCAAGGGGGGATTTTTTTTGTGTCTGGTCGAATGAGCATAGCCAGGGAGTCCCAGGCCAAGACTGCAGGGAGATGGAGGGTTTATTCGTTTCGACCCAAGGGACGGACACCTCGTCGAGACAGCATTGGATTTGAGAACCAGAAAGCCACAAAAAAAGAATCCACAGGAGGGGATGGGATTAGTATTTCCCACCAAACATTGCATGTCAAGGAAAAAAAGAAAGGCCAGAGCCTCATCCTGTGTGGAAAAAGGATGCGATACTGCTGCTGCTGTCCGACGGGGTCCCTCAATGCGAGCTTTCACAAGATTCCCTAGTCTCACACCATTCTTCTTTGTCAGTGAGCGAGGAGAGGAGGGCAAGACAAAAGTTTGTACACAGTATCACGAGACCAGGACATCTTAGGTGAATGAAATGGTTCATTGTGAAACCACCAATTCTTGTAAATAGAAAAAAAAAGTAGAGTGCTATTCTGTGCCGGGTACTTGTATCTCAGTCGACTGGCTTGCAGGCTGGATGTGCATTATATGTCTGTTGTAAAGACCAAAACCATCCCGGTATTTCGCGGTCGTGATCATAAACATCCAGCAGGTTGTGTCTCTCTGTGTGTGGGACTCAAGTCACCGGCATTCGAGTCGACGACTGTGTCAACATATAGAATCTTGCCTCCCTGGCTGCACCTTTGCGGTCTGATTATGCTTGCTTTTTCAACTGTGGCGGCGGATGAAGCACGTCTCCTCGGATTACACCTGGCGAGCTTTCGCATTGCAGGGTCTGCTATCGCTTCTGGGAGTGCCTTGAAGTGTACAGTCGAGTGTTTGTTTCATCAAGCGGCATTGACACGCAACCCCCTTTTCGTTCTGCTTGTCAACAAGGTGTTGTGCTGGGTAGGCAACACCTAACACTTCCATCTGAGTTTTTGTTCTGATACCATTTCCTCAACTCAATTCCATCTTCCACAGCCCATCCCCGAGATAGTGTCCAGAACTCATCGCCACTCCCTTTTTCTTCGCCTTCATCTCCTCGGTGCCCACCTCCAAGATCCCGATCATGCATACCTCTTCCTTCCCTTCTGCCGTGATGGCAACAACTTCCCCCGCTTTGACCTCTTCGTCCTTGTCGGGTAACCAGCCGCCGGCGGAGGTGAGGCCGGGAACCATGAGCGTGGCGCCGGACAGGACGAAGCGGATCGCGCCGCGGTCAATGCGCAGGTGTTTGAAACATTGCGGGTATTGGTGGACCAGTTTCAGGTGGGGGATGATAGGGTCGTCCATGTGTTGGTAGAAGAGGGGGCGATCGTCGAGGACATAGAGGGAGACGCGGTCGGGACTAAGAAAACATGTCTTTGTGAGTGATTTGCCATGCGGAGGAGGGAAAGACAACATTTCAAGATTCCGCTCTTCTTCGGCCACGGGTTGTGAAAAGGAAGACATCGCTTATTTGGAGGGGGAATGTCGCAGAAACACTCTTGCTCTAATTCCCACACCCCTTCCCCCAATTGTGGTGAAAATCCGAGGACAGCGGCATTGTACGCCCAAACACAGGGTTCCTCACAGTTTCACCAAGTCCAGTTGACTCTTCTTGGGCAAGATGTCGTCAATGCAGGGCTCGAGGTTCGGATACGTCTCGAGCACTTTGGCTCTGATGCCCCGCTGAACCGAGGACTTTACTTTGGACTTTGCGCCCGCCGACAAGCTGTGTTTCCACCACTTTAGCGTCTCGTCCCTGGGAGAGGGGAGGAGGTGGGCATGCTTACTCCTTCTTGAACATGGCGCAGGACTGTGTCAATAACGGGGTTCAGGGGGGATAGAAGTGGTAGAGGAGCAGGGAAGGGTGATAGGAGATCGCTGGCGCCCCGTTTGGTGGTTGTCAATTCTCGGGGTGCGCATGCGCAGGGCAGTTGGGAGGGGAAGACGTCGGCCAAGAAGTTTGTTTGTGACTATTGAGTATCTCGGCGCGGGGCTAAAATATTCCGAACTCTTCTCACCTAGCGTTTTGTGCCATGAGCTAACGTTTGGAGACCTCAATATCAAAAACATTGCGTTTACTTCTGGTCGTTCAAGTCACCTACCCATAGAGAGGCTTTTCGAAGTGCTTGGCCCTCTTGAATCGAAAGATTTGATCCCAGTGGATGGTTAATCTCTCAGTGACAGCGTCCCCAGGCAGCTGGTCAAGTCAGTGGAATGGGTCGGTTGGCCAGATGAAGATGATGTAGACGATGACGATATTCGACTTATCGACCTAGGAGAAGCATTCAGCCTAGATGCGACTCCTGAACGTCTCGCTCGACCTCCATGCATGCAGGCGCCCGAAACAATCTTCACTGACAGGTTCGATCATCGACTCGACTTGTGGCGCTCGGGTTCAATAGTGAGCTTTTCCCCATGGTCAAATCGAAGGCCACATATATACTGACACTTGCTACGTATCTACTATCTCATATTTAGAACCTTGCCATGCAAATAGTGGACAATCGACACGTTCGTTGCATCGATGATCGACTTTGTGGGAGAGTTGCCCCTTGAATGGCAGCCAAAGTGGGAACCGATGAGGCTCGACGCCAATGGAGGTTCCCAACTAGAAGAAAACGCACCTCTTCCGGGGTTGAGGCTGGAGCAGATGTTCGACAAACACGTCGAGGAACTAGAATTGAAGATTCTTCTTCCTGTCATTGAGCACTTGACGAGGTTCTTGCCATCGGATCGCATGTCAGCACAGCAGGCACTTGAATTCTCACTGCAGCGAATGACAATCTGGAAACTTGACGACTTGGATGCTCCATGCAAACCCGGAGCATTCCTGTCCCCATCGCTCGGGCGACTGGTCCTACCAGATCAATAGACAACCGAACCTTATATTTCGCTCCCGCGATGAGGAGTTTGGCCAGACGATTTAGACGTGATCGAGGGCTCCTCTTACCAGACAGGTTACCTACATACTCATCCTTACAAGTCGTCTCTACTCAGTTCCCACGATATCACCCTGCCTACACTCCCCCAGCTGAGAGACCGAGTCGGCCTTCCCACCGCTGCGTGCCGTGCGAGGATCCTACCAATGAAAGATAAGGACTTGTGTACATGGCAAGCTGCACATTTTCCACCTCCATCATTCCTCCAGCCCCGCGGCCAAAGTCTGCGGACCCCCGAATTCGCTGTCGTCCAATCCTTTTCCGGGAAGTTGTGCTGCAACAGCATCCCTCAAGTGCATCCACAGAAGACTGTTCCTGACTCCATTTTTGTTTGCATTTCGGGCAATCCTTCCGCAGTCCGGCCTTGATACTTCTTCTGTCGTCCTCGCGGCTGCATATCTGTCTGGTCTACCTCGTAGATGAGATCGCCTCGTGCCGCTAAATTGTGATTGGTATCTCGACTGCCGAAGGACCAGATGTGGTGTGATCTCTGATGTACACAGTCCTCGTAATCTTTCACTGGCAGAACCGATACGGATGCCGAGTGTTCATCGACAGCAATCTAGCAGCTAGTCCTGGTCAATGCTTCTCACGGACTTCTGTTCTTCCTCGGGACAGTGTCGTTGACCGAATCCTCCGTCGCATCGCCCTAGTTGGCGACAATCGGGAGGACGAGAAGTCGGGTAGGACACCTCCAATTAAGTGCCTAATTGGGTAATCGAGGGAGACTGCGAGTTGGATCAAGGCTCAAGGGGACAAAGTTTAATACCAATGCCAAGAATAGGCCAAGCCTTCAAAGTCACGTGTAAGAATATCCCATGTTACCAGACCGCGTCTGCACGCGTTCTCTTTCTTCCATTGTCACCACCAGTTCAATCAGACCATGACTCTCTTACCCTATATCTTGTATCTACCTGTGCATCCCTCTTCTCAACAACGCCGACGTATCCTGTACAGTCTTTAGGGTGCGCTCCACAATAGGAGCAAGCTCTATGTGTCTCACTCCCAATGGCCTCATGCCCCAAGTTAACCCGCTAATGAATGCCTGGCTACTGAACATCTCGGCCACTTACAATGCAAGCAAATCAATGTATCTCTTACTCCTTTTTCTTTGCCTCTAGTCCCATCCTCTTGTGATCTCATTGAGCGGCTGTCACCACTCCAAGGTTTGAGACAAGCTGGAAATTCGCGAACACTTCTCCAAAGAAGGCGAGTCGGCTACCCCATCAAGGGCATCGCACAAGGCTTCGGCTTCCGTGTCAATCTCGGCTGTGCCTGTCACCCTGATCGCTGGCTGCAGCTTCCTCTTGGCCATCTTCTCGTTCCGTTGATGCTGAGCGAGAATGGCAAACAAGTCAATCGTGCGACCTATGCCGTCGATCAGCAATCGTGTAGCGTGTACCTGGGAGACATCACTCACCTCCGCATTGATATGCAAAATATGGGGATCTCGTTGCGCTCTTGTTTTCGTCTGGGCTCGATAAATGCAGGAGTTCTTGCTCCAGCATCCACTTCGACTTCTCCAGCACCTTTGCCGGAGCTGTGTGTCCCTGTTTGAGGTAAAAGTCGCAGCGCACAACGACCTCTGAGCTTGATCGTGGTAGAAGCACCATGGTGCACCACAAATCATCGTCGAGTTCCTTGATGATGCTCAAGGGACCGAGTAGTCTGACCACTTTGGATTTGGACTTGCGAATTGCAGAAAGCCATTCAAACGGGCTCTGCGCCCATTGAGCCTGGTTGGAGAACTCATTTGCTGATCGGTGTCAGAGTTTGGACGCTGATGGATTTCCAAATTGACTTACCGATGTCTTTCCAGTTCGTTGGACAGGTCACCTCCTTTCCATCCACCCACGAGCAGCTCCCCAGATCCACGTGGGATTTCACATTATTGAAAGGAAGATTCAGCGTACTTGCGTCGAAATTGACAAACACCAAGCCTTCTCTCGTCGTGATCAACTTGATCTCGAACAGTCCATTGTCTTCAGGTACGAATCCGGGCGATTCATCGAATTTTGGTGCCTTGACCAAGGCGCCTGTGTCATCGTACTGCCAGCCGTGGTATTTGCACGAAAACCGCGTCGAGGAGCCACATGATTTGCGCACCACGGTATATGCTCGATGCCGGCAGACGTTGTGGAAGGCCCGGAGTCTCAAGTCTTTGCCCAGGACGACAAAGAACGAGATACCGGCGACGTCGTATGCATGATAGTCACCGGGCTTGTCGAATCTGCTGCGGTGACACACAAAGAGCCATGTCTTGAGATCAGTCAGTTTTCCCGTTCGCACCAGCGACCTTTGTTCGCGAGACAAAGTGAAGTAGACTACCGCCTACCTTGCTAAAGAAAGCTCTTTTCTCCAACTGAAAGATGTCGTCATCCGACATATTCTCCTGCTTTAGACTGCCCTTCTCAGCCTGGTCAAGACTTGAACCAGGGGCAAAGGATTTGCGGTCATCATGGACGAGATTGAACAGGAGACGTCCGACAAGGTAAACAATGCAAGCACCGGCAGAAAGATAAACAGGCAATGGAGAAAACACGGAGCCAAACTGGCTCTCGACTGGGTTTACGGCCATGCTAGAAGGGTTCTTCTGGGGCCAGTATTGATATATTTTTGATATTGGGTTTTTTGTTTCAACAAGAAAGGGTCAATCACGATTTATGAATACGATACGAACGAGACCTGGGTGGCCCCGGATTGCCCGTGTTAGCCAAGGGGAAGCATTTTCAACAGTTGGTAATGGAGGATGCGATGCCCGAGAAGCTACTGGAAAAGGGCGGCCAATGACCTTGATTGACTCTGGTCGATTGTACCCCATTACAACGCTCGGATCCGACACTAATTATATTCTCACTCGTCAGTTTTAAGTCGCCCATGATATCAAAGCTGACGCACTCTATGGTCCACGGGTCACAGGGGGGGAAAAACCGCGCCATAACTCAACTGGGTAATACGATCCCGGCGCAACAATCACATCCCCTCGACAGGGTTTTGACTTCTGCGGAAGTATCTACTCGAACCGCAACGACCAAACAAGTTCTAGACCCAACCCAACCAGTGACGAGTTGGCACATGTGCAAATCGTTCAGCCCAGGGATTGCGATGAATAATGCCGATCCGCCTTTTGCGGGCACTTCTGTCCACGGCTTGCGCGAATAGGGGCCACTGGTGGATCAACAAGTCACAGACTCACGGCTCCATCGCTCGGTCGGTATTTGAATGCCTCTTTTGGAACTCATTGTAAGGGTCGGCATCATGCGGGATCTTATGATAACGTCGTGCTTGGGTAAAAATACAAACGTCGACGTCGACGACTACTACTGAAACGTCTGCTGGCAATTCTTGAAACTTTGAAACAATCTCCATGAATTCAGCAATGGACGCGACAAAAACACTGCCCGCGTCGTGGTACATTTCACAGAATCTCTTGTCGCTCGAACAACGGGCCATCTTCCACAAAGCCTGGTACTTTGTCGGAGCTGTCCCTCGGTTTGCGGTGGAGCGGGAAGTCGAGTACGAGTT